TGGTAGCGACACACCGACGGCGTGGAATGCGACGATCGGAGTCAACGAACGGTATAGAAGTCTTCGATACGTCGTAAATGGCCCATCTCGCCCGTCCCCTTTACCGGCCTGTATCCCGGTTCTCCATCTCGTTCGAGTACGCCGCGAGTAGCCATACACGCATAACATCGGGTCCAGCCTACGTTTTCGTCCTACCAGCCCGCGAGACTGACAACGAACGACCGAAAAACACTGGCGACGCGGCCGGACCGACGAACAAAGCTCGGTAACTCTCTGGTATACGAGCGGAATCGTCGTCGGCCGGATGGGTCGGTCTACGACGAGGACGACGGGAACGTACATTCCACGGTTTTAGTACCGAATCTTGACCGACGTGGCCGTGTAGCGGATCCCTCGATCGAGACGAAAACAATATACACGAAATGGAATGATGGCGTTCCCGTGTCAAACACGGGGGAAACGAAACGTCGAGTAGGAAAGAGGCGGGAACCGGTGTGTGTCTCTGCGAGCCGAGCAGACACAGCTCCGCTGAGTAGTTGTCTTCTCGGAGAATGAAGTTCGAGGAAATCTCGGAGAGCGAGATCTAAGCGGGGTGACGAACGGATCTGCGATAAAAAAACAAGAAAAATAGCGCGCGTATTGGTCGGCGACATTCAAAGCAGAAAAAGTATCTCAAAGAATATTTCAGCCTAAACGGTTTTCGGTCAGCGGCTATTAACCCTGTGCAGCGGGATTCGTTTGAAACCGAGAAGGAACCGATGGTCCGTAAAAGCGGAGCGCAGGACCGCGATGAAGAGCCCGAGGAGAACGCTCGGGGAGAGAACCGATTACATCGGCGGATCGGGGCCCCGACTTTCGACCGGGTATTCACCAGAGAGAGCCTATTGTTGTGCTTAATTTAGCGTTAAATTGTTTACATCTCATTAATCGCCGGGAAGAACCTTGCGGGCAGACCGTCATGATCATCGATGCACGTCAGTCATGGACCGTGGGCATCGCTTTAATTTCGAATTGACCACCATGCCCGGGGCCCCGTGTTGTACCGGGCCCCCAGTCCCTCCCCGCCCCTCGCTTCTCCCAAAACACCCCCTCCTCCTACCGAACAACGAACTACATCTCGCGTGTCTCCTGTTTCACCGTGTGCAAGACGAAGGGAACGGAGTAGTCCCGACTCGAGTCCATCGGGGCCCGGGAGTCCACCGTCGCCGTCGTTCCACCGCGCTCCACTGCGTCGTGGGCCCGACGAACGACAGTGGAGCAATATTGGAACTCGAGCTCCACTCGACCGGTTCGTTCGTTCACTGTCAGTCGAGTGCACTTCGCGGTAGCGACACACGCAGCCACGTTGTTCCGCCGGTCGACCGATACAAAACGTCCACCTTGAACCGACTCGCTCGAGAGTAGCCTCTCTATTAACCCCGCGTTTACCGTTTGTTAGCCGTGCATGCTATTACACCGACCGATTTTTCACGCAGAACGCTGACTCCTTGCGCTGTGCTCGCCGAGAGCTGCGCATAACTGCCGCAACGAGATTCTCCGTTCATCTAGACTGTCGCAATTTTTATTGAAATGTGAAATGTATCGGATCATTTGGTTATCGTGACCTTAATTAACCAGTGAGGACCTAGGGGGGACCTAGTTCTAGGTCTAAGCTAGTGGTGGTAACTTCAACGTTGAAAGAATCGAAACCACGTCTGAGACGTGGGTGTTACTTTGATACAAGAAAAAAGTTCGCGTACCATACAGAAATGATGATAGATTGATTCTTAACGTGATCGTAACAGAATCTATATGTAGAGAAATACGAATTTAAGTGGTTATCAAACAGAGAGAGAGAGAGAGAGAGAGAGAGAGAGAGAGAGAGANCGACACACCGACGGCGTGGAATGCGACGATCGGAGTCAACGAACGGTATAGAAGTCTTCGATACGTCGTAAATGGCCCATCTCGCCCGTCCCCTTTACCGGCCTGTATCCCGGTTCTCCATCTCGTTCGAGTACGCCGCGAGTAGCCATACACGCATAACATCGGGTCCAGCCTACGTTTTCGTCCTACCAGCCCGCGAGACTGACAACGAACGACCGAAAAACACTGGCGACGCGGCCGGACCGACGAACAAAGCTCGGTAACTCTCTGGTATACGAGCGGAATCGTCGTCGGCCGGATGGGTCGGTCTACGACGAGGACGACGGGAACGTACATTCCACGGTTTTAGTACCGAATCTTGACCGACGTGGCCGTGTAGCGGATCCCTCGATCGAGACGAAAACAATATACACGAAATGGAATGATGGCGTTCCCGTGTCAAACACGGGGGAAACGAAACGTCGAGTAGGAAAGAGGCGGGAACCGGTGTGTGTCTCTGCGAGCCGAGCAGACACAGCTCCGCTGAGTAGTTGTCTTCTCGGAGAATGAAGTTCGAGGAAATCTCGGAGAGCGAGATCTAAGCGGGGTGACGAACGGATCTGCGATAAAAAAACAAGAAAAATAGCGCGCGTATTGGTCGGCGACATTCAAAGCAGAAAAAGTATCTCAAAGAATATTTCAGCCTAAACGGTTTTCGGTCAGCGGCTATTAACCCTGTGCAGCGGGATTCGTTTGAAACCGAGAAGGAACCGATGGTCCGTAAAAGCGGAGCGCAGGACCGCGATGAAGAGCCCGAGGAGAACGCTCGGGGAGAGAACCGATTACATCGGCGGATCGGGGCCCCGACTTTCGACCGGGTATTCACCAGAGAGAGCCTATTGTTGTGCTTAATTTAGCGTTAAATTGTTTACATCTCATTAATCGCCGGGAAGAACCTTGCGGGCAGACCGTCATGATCATCGATGCACGTCAGTCATGGACCGTGGGCATCGCTTTAATTTCGAATTGACCACCATGCCCGGGGCCCCGTGTTGTACCGGGCCCCCAGTCCCTCCCCGCCCCTCGCTTCTCCCAAAACACCCCCTCCTCCTACCGAACAACGAACTACATCTCGCGTGTCTCCTGTTTCACCGTGTGCAAGACGAAGGGAACGGAGTAGTCCCGACTCGAGTCCATCGGGGCCCGGGAGTCCACCGTCGCCGTCGTTCCACCGCGCTCCACTGCGTCGTGGGCCCGACGAACGACAGTGGAGCAATATTGGAACTCGAGCTCCACTCGACCGGTTCGTTCGTTCACTGTCAGTCGAGTGCACTTCGCGGTAGCGACACACGCAGCCACGTTGTTCCGCCGGTCGACCGATACAAAACGTCCACCTTGAACCGACTCGCTCGAGAGTAGCCTCTCTATTAACCCCGCGTTTACCGTTTGTTAGCCGTGCATGCTATTACACCGACCGATTTTTCACGCAGAACGCTGACTCCTTGCGCTGTGCTCGCCGAGAGCTGCGCATAACTGCCGCAACGAGATTCTCCGTTCATCTAGACTGTCGCAATTTTTATTGAAATGTGAAATGTATCGGATCATTTGGTTATCGTGACCTTAATTAACCAGTGAGGACCTAGGGGGGACCTAGTTCTAGGTCTAAGCTAGTGGTGGTAACTTCAACGTTGAAAGAATCGAAACCACGTCTGAGACGTGGGTGTTACTTTGATACAAGAAAAAAGTTCGCGTACCATACAGAAATGATGATAGATTGATTCTTAACGTGATCGTAACAGAATCTATATGTAGAGAAATACGAATTTAAGTGGTTATCAAACAGAGAGAGAGAGAGAGAGAGAGAGAGAGAGAGAGAGAGAGAGAGAGCGAAGTAAAATAAGTGTTCACAATTGTCGTCATAATCAAACTTTCCACATGCAATAACACGAATCCAACCGTGCAGTGTCTACATATCCGAGCACCTTCGCTTTCTAGTCATTGTAACAGATCTACTATTGTCTCTCACGATTTTCTGTAACCGCGTGTCTGCGCATGCACGATTATTGCTAACAGAAGAAGTTCAGACGGGCGAATATCGTGTTTCCACTGTAGGCACGATGGTTTGAAGGTCGCTGATGGACTAACCCCACGAGCTAGCCCTATCTGCAGTTTCTCGCGTAACAGTCGCCGCAAATATAGGAAACCGTCCGCGATTAGATACGACATAGTGAATGGCTCAAAGAAACTTAGACCACTCCCAACTCGGTTATCAGGTACAATACAGCCCTAATACGCGAGCACGGGATTGAATAGGTAGTATCCCGATGAACAGAGCGTTTCCCAGCTACCGATGGAAACCGAGACCAGCCCCGAGATTACACCCGGAAGTGGCGAACAGTTTTAACTGGCCGCGGAGTGCTTCAGGTAGTATCGGAATGCCAATTATTTCCGGGAAGCTTTAGCTTAATGTAAATAGTTGGCGGCGGAGAGCGATTCGGGGAAGGTTAAACCCGCGGCCGTAATCGTGTAACCGCCGCCGATCGCCGGTCGCCGTGGACCTCGTCGACAAGCGTAAAATACGAAACCGCTTGATTATCTGCAGTCATAATTCCTCGTCGCGTTCGTTTTTGTTAACGCATTAGTAGACCCGAGCGCGCGGGCAACACGCGATGATCATAGGTATAATTTCACATAATGAGAACTCCGGTAACCGATCGGTTAGGGGATACACTACCGCGACTATCTACACGGAATCTCATGCTATCGGCTTTCAATAAGGTTGATAAAGTCAACCGCGCTCGCGCGCTTGCGGCCGCAAAGCGAGAGACCGTCCGACGCCTGTAAAGGAGATGCAACCCGCGAATAATTCACCCGTTATCTAAACCATCTACCGGCTGGTTAAGCAATTTCTCGAGAACGTCGATATAATGCAGCGCCTGCACGCGTTCGCGGGCGAATGCGCCGCGGATCACGCACGAAATTAGAATGTCTTCGCGGGTTCCGCACGGACGCAACCGCCGCTTCGATCAATAATAATGCCGGGCAATTTAATCGGCCGCTCGAGATCGATCCGAATCACTTTCGCCGCGCAGCCGAGCGCTAATTTAATGGGCCGATCTCCAGCGGATTGTATAATATGTTTTAGAACTATCTACCTGTTAGATGACTGCCGGTGAACTCGAAGTCGTCGTCCTGGTCCCAGTGCTTCAGGCTAAGGTTCGAAAGCGATGTCGCATTAGCGAATTCCAGATTAGCGAAGTGCCAGTCAAGAATCTGACGATCCTTGGAGGATAGGTATACGTCGCTGTGAATTGCGAAAGTGTCCCCTTAATGGCGGGCTCGCGTGAAACAATCGCATCAATAATCGGACGAACTATGACTTACCTGGGAGGGGAAGCTTCCAATTCCTGCAGCTTGGCCTCGATCTCCTTCTGCTGCTCGGCCAGCTGATCCCACTCCTAAGGCAAAGCGAATAAACACTTAGCTTCAAATATTCCGGTTGCGTAAATGTTATTCGTACCTTGCATGCGTTGTGAAGGTCGCGCAACTTCGAACGTAACACAAACTCCTGCGTGATATCGCGCGTCTGAAGTTTGCTTTCGGTCATCTCTTTGTACTGTTTATTTAGCTCCACTAAACGGTCCATGATTGCTATCATCTGTAACGTAAACGTGACCACGCGGTTCGTATAATAAGCTCGAAAGGTTTCAATAAACACGTAGGTGCAATGGAAGATAGTTACTCTGTGTTGATTGGTGATGAGCCGCCCCTGGAGCGACAACACTGAACGCAAGTGGGCCACTTGACGTTGTTTAACACCCTGTTCTTGTAAACGTATCACCCACTCTAATGCTTGACCTAACGAGACTGGCCGCGTGTTACCGCTCTGACCTGTGGCACCGGTGCTACCCACATAATTAAAATCTAATTGGTGCGAAAGGTATGACGTCGCCTCCAGTAGTCTATTAAATTCTCTCTCTACCATTTCATCTTTGTCTTTCGGAACCTGATCGGAACGATTGGATTTATTATTTTGTAAGGCTTAATTATGATCGATTTGTGGATAGATAATTTTATTTACCGTTTGTCCGTCGCTTTCGTATAAAGGACACTTTTGGCGAATTTTATGAAGCTCCATGTTAATTTGTTTGCTGAGGGTCGTTACAGGATTCCCACCTAATCCTGTGACCACCATGGCACCTAGATCTGCTATGTATGAAGATTTACGGAACGTTGCGATGCGACCACCAACTCGATCCTGTAAAATACGGAATTTAATCAAATAACGTGTCTGTATTTAATAGGTAAGTATTGAAAATATTGTAATAATTACCCTAGCCTCCAGTACTATTACTTCTAAACCGAATTGCTGCATCTGCTGAGCTGCGGCTAAACCGGCGATACCGGCTCCTATCACTATTACTTTACCTACCTTCTTCGTAGGTAATGGCTGAAAGATTATGATGCATTAATACATTTCCAGTATTATGTAGCTATTCATTATACTTACTTTTAATCGTTTGAATACACCGAAATTTATGAAACCATGTCTTTCCAAAAATGCATGAATTCTTCGTGCCAACACTGTATCACTGTTATATGGCGGTTCTATTGCAGGTAATGCATTTTCAACGATTAATTGCTGTTTTGCATTTTCCAACCATAACTGTAACTAAAGTAAGCAAGATAATTTGTAAGAAAGCTTTAAAGTTCAAAATATTTGTAGCTTTGTCAATTATTTATAGCTGAATGACTTACAAGCCTATTCCTAATATGCAGAAATACTTTCTGTGTTTGTGGTGGTCCACCTGAAACATCTGGGAAACAAGCAGCCTCTGTAGAAGTTAATTTATCGAAAGGAAGACGACTCTGAAATGCTGCTCCTTCTAATCCATTTAATAATTCTTTCACTGTAATCACAAATGTACATTAAACTCTTCTTATGGAATGAAAAATATTTTCTTAAAAGATATATTTACCATGTGGATCTTCGTGATCACTGTCTTGCTCATCTTCCTCTTTAACTTCTAACTTTGCTGCCGATGATGTAGGGGCAGCTTGTGGTATGGGAATCTCAGATTCTTTCTTAACTTCGGGCACAGGTTTTTTCTCTGGTGTCACAAGACCAGTTTTAGATTTCTCCGATGTGTCAGATGCATTTTCATCTTCCAACTGATTATACTTCTCTTCCATTTCTCTATATTCCACCTATATAAAAATAGGTGTGATAGAAAGAATTACTAATATAGTTATCAATACAAATACTTTTAATCATAGATCATTGGTAAATCAAGTTTAACAAGGCAGTAGAAATCTACTTTGACATATAGGTTAAACACCTCTAACTCAATTTATGACATAAAAGTTCCATAAAACACTTACATTTTGACTCGTACGGATCATGTATAAATCAATTGGAATACTTAAAGCTTATGACTACCTGTCATAAAGGTACAAATAAAAAATAATGGGTTTAATCAAAACATAACCTAGTATAGTTGTTTACAACACTAAAACGTGTACCCTGGCTACGCACAAACTCTAGATTGACATGTTTTCTTGAATGACAGTTTATCAGAGATCGTAGGAAAATAAACAGAAGTCCAATATTGTGTGTAATCTTTCAGAATATAAAATCTCAAACATTGACCATAATAGTTTCTGTGAAAATAACCTTCAAAATCAAATAACATTTATATTAATCTTGAGTGACACAACAAAACATACCTTCGCCCTTTTTCTTCGACTCATATCGCTGCTGTGTTGTTGGCTTCCCTCAAAATGTAATTTCTGCTGAACGAATTTACACAAGTTTGTTTTGACTCTTCAAACCGGCGGCACATACAATTATGAAAGCCAGAAACTACGAAGAACATAGAATGCAACATACAACGATCGTTGGAATCATAGTTCGTCGACGACATCTGGAGGGAACAATGTCTACATACTTTGAATAAACTCTAGCGGGAATTCCTCTAATTACTAGCCATTGTTCTTAACTTGATAGTTTCCACATGTATCCGTAAATAAAGTATAAACGCAAGGAAATATAAATTTCTTGTTATTCTTGCGGGAATTTTACCACAGGTGAAATATAATTTCTTTATCTGACTGAATTGTGCTACCACCTATCGGAGCACTGGTACTTAATCTTGCGCAATTTATGTACGTTGATACAACGTAAATGTTAAATCTAAATCGTTAAATGTGACTTACACTTCAGTAATGTAAGCCGAACGGATGAGATAGGTTGAAATAAACAATGAAGAAAATGACATTATACGTATGACTAAAAACGAAATGCGTTTATCATATATTCATCAGAAATTTCTAATGTAATTTATTTCTTTGCAGGCTCTGGGCAGATTAAATTCCTCTGTACAGCACTGCACAAAACATCAACACAAATCCATCTTTTACTGGCTTACTGTTGCATTTAATAGGTATCATATTGAAAATTATTGCTAAACACCTAACCCTGTGGAGATTGTTGTGCATTTTAGAAATTTATGGAAAGTAATTTCAAATCTGTTACAATATTAACAATAAGTTGTGTAGTTTGTTAATATTAAACTTTATTAACTCTGTAGAATTAATGTGCAAGACAATAAAGCAATTTTGCAATAGAAAAATTTATTTTTTTAAGTGTTAATGAAGAGCGTAGGAAACAACTTGGTCCTGATATTTCTTGTGCAGAATGGCTCCTGCGAAATGGAGCATTTGTCAAGTGGAAAGACTCTCCAGAAGAAATAACAGATTATAATGCGCTACCAACAACATATGCTAATTATAAAATTGAAGTTGTTAATGCTATAGATGCTGGAATTAGTTATGTTGGATTTCCACACTTTGGTGGGTGTTGTTTAAGATTGTGTTTGCATAAGAGTTATTAATATATTCATTTGACCTATTATATTAGAGGGATGCAAACATATAAAGACAATAAAGTTGGATAACTGTAGATATATAAATGACAAGGCTATATCAATGCTACCTATACTAGAAAGTTCACTTACTCAAGTATTGCTACTGAACTTGAAAAATATTACTGATGATGGGTTACGGGAATTAAAAAATCTCAAGTATGCACAGTAAATCGGATATTGACGATTTTTGTATTCTAATTAATTGCATATATTGTTTCCAGAAATTTGGAGGAAATAGATCTTCAAGGACTATCATATGTTGAAAATCTGGAGGCTGTTTGTGCAGAAATCAAGGCAGCTCTACCCAAATGTAATATTCGTATTCATTGAATGCGTTGTAACAAATTCCGTATGAAATTTACTGTAAAATAGAATGTACTAATTAAAATAAACAAGCTTACATATTACTTTCAGCAAATGCACCGTATTTTTCACCGCAATTGAAATCGACACCGAAACTTATTGTTAGTCTTTGATTCGTCACCGAAACCGGAAGTAGTCCGTTTAAATTCCTTCAGCGGAAGTGACGAAATCGGCGATGAAATTAAAGTTCAAATGTTGCTCGTCCTGTGTCGCTGCACGTCATATGTTGTTCGAAGTTTGAAATTGTTCCGAAAGTGTTGTACTTTGATGTTGAAGAGATTTAAACCTTTCTTTTACTTACAAATTTACGAATTTCATCAATATGTCGCAACAAATGAACATTCTATGTTGTTGTTCTTGCAGTATGTATCAGGTAAGTAATATAGTTCCTAAAATTGTAGCTTTGGTTCACAATTTCAAATGTTTCATCTAGGATGTATTTTCTAGGTTCACATAGTCAAGAAAGCAAAGAAATGGCAATGTAAAATATGTAACACGAAGCAAACCTTCAGACGCGTGAGTTAATTATTATTTTACGAATTCATTTATTGTGTTTTCACAGTCATTTTATAGTGGAGACCAAAGCAGAATGTTTGATTTAATCAATTACAAAATAACGGTCGGCCAATGTTTTTAGATTTTTTTCCAAGGATCGGGCAAAGATTGTCGCATTCAGGTTCAAAAATTGAACGCCATGAAAGAAAATGAGGATCAATCGTATCCATCATTCGAAATGGCTACTAACTCATATGACAGTCAACACAATGATTATACCGATGAACCTAGATTGAAGGTACCTGAAAATAAATGGGCAAAGTATTTGGATACTTCTGATGAAGGTCTATTTAATAGTGTGCAAACTGCAGATTATCAACAAGTTAATGAAACAACTGATGATTCTCTAAACTTGTCTAATGATAACGCATCGTGTGGATGTTCTCAAAATAGTCATTCTTTCTACCACAATGATTCTGAACAGAATGCTAGTTCCAATGATGAAGAAGAATCTGATAATCTTGTAAAACAAGAAATATATCATATTGCATCGGATACAAAGAATGATAGTGAAAGTGGAAATTCTAAAAACAATGATCTGGAGAAAACAGTAGATGCAACAAATATTTTTGATGATAATGAGGATTTTGACCTTGCCATTGATTTTTAAGTTTTTCATGTTTCTGTAATTTTTAATTAACGAATCTAGCTTATTATTAGCTTAATTATTATTCGATATCTTCAATTTGGTATTGATTGAAACACAGGCGATTGTTTGGACAGTATTTATTTGTTTATTTCACATGATTTAAATACATTGTTTTAATTTCAAAATCTTGAAGATATCCTCAGAATACTAACTGAGAACCTAGTACATAACACAGACATACAATTGTAAAAAAATAAAATGCTAATGGATACAGTTACGCGGTAGTTTTATTCAAACAATATACAATTTCTGTTTGGGGCAAGATTATGTATTGTCTAAAAAATCTCGTTAATTCGTTAAGTGATTACATCCAATTCGATAGAGTGCATAGGTCCATCAGCATTCCATTTTTTCTCGTAGAGACTGTTAGGTGTAGCAACCACAAAAAGTTGTCGTGTTGCTTCTAGTAAGACAGGAGAGATTGCGCTCGGCATTTTTAATTCAAGTATAAACAGTCTTAGCGTTGTATACGTTCAGACAGTGGCTGGAGTTGCTTTCTGCTCTCTATTTTTATTCTGTCTGTACAGAGCGAAGGTCAAAGACGTCGGCAAAGAATAGTAGTGATGATCGTAAGACATTTTATGGCAGTGCATGGCGGGAGCAATGTTCGTTCTTTTTTTCTTTTAATTTTGCACTGTCTGTGGGCAATAGAAACGTTAAAAGTATGGCAGCTGCACTGGAATAAATGGTTCACGATCGTATGATATTGTAGAGACTGTTCTCACGAGTTTAGGCAAAGAATGTTTTTCTTTTTGGCAGGACAATTTCGCTATTATTGTGTTTGTTATTTCGTTGTGCGTATCAGTCCACAGTCAAGAATCCAAATTCGAAGTGCCCTAATTACGGTAGACCCGAATTCTTTCTTCCCTCTGGACAACCTACTGTCCAACCTACTGTCACCTACTTTCGGTTGACCGATATTTTAAAATTGCTCTAAATTTCATTAGGCAAAGTGTCGATACAAATGATCTGTTTCTCCTTACAATAGAGACCTAAAGAGACGGCGGATAAATAAATTATTATAAAAAATATCTGCTATTAAGTAAAAAAAAAGGATCGTCGTCGGATTGTTTCTTTCGTTCTTTTTTCTTTCATTTGTTCGTCATGTGCATCGACGAGACGTTACAATTTCACGGTGAAGAACAGTATAATAATGTCGTTTGAAAAAATCTGCGCGTCGCTCGGATCACAAGCTCCGGCTGTAATGGAATCAAAACGTTCGTCAATTAAATATATCACGTTTCCGTTTCCTTTCAATTAAATATCACTAAATAAATTACGTTATTAAATGCATCGCGAGAATTAATTAATATACATCTAAGGCAATGCATCGCGGATCCTTCGGCAACACATTCGAAAGAGAAACAAATGAACCAATCAGTACTGGTGTCTGTGCCGCCGGAAGTTCACTGTGTCCTGGTGATGCCTCATACTGCTCTGCCAGCTTCGACTGCGTCTGTTCCAAACACTGTCCAACAAGAAAGCAAAAACACTGCAGATACTCCCCGACGAATTATATTATCGTCTGCCACGCTACTCTTCTACAACCTTGGCAGAAAGTATTTCCAGCATTCAGCTTTATAAACGATAAAAACAAATGTAATTTTTAACATGATTCTCGTCGCTTGAAGCACCGAAGGGCATTCAAATTCTTCATCATGCTATTCTAGTTCTAATTCCACATACGTATACTCCGTTTTTTCCAACAACTCTGAATTCTTGCTGCCAGGGGTGACACTTAGCGTTAGCCTAAAGCTAAACGGACTTACTTTTGCAACTTTTTTCGTCTCTTATTAGGCGGACTACCGAGTTCACTTTCACGAATAATTTGCAAAGCTGACGGTACAAACATATCCTCTAGAGAAATACGAACAACATGAGATCAGCGATCATGAGAGAAAACCTGTTGCTTGGTTTAAGGATTAGTCGAGTTCTTACCGAACGTGTTCACGTATTTTCTCTTCGAAATTAATCTCTGATGTTGCTGGGGCTGTGGCATGGCCTCCTTTGCGCTGCCAACAGTGCAGTCCCTCGTACCTTTGCATCCTCTCAGGTGCTCCAGCTGATCGTGAAGGTAGGACCGTTCGAGCGGGGTTAACGATGACAATCTGTTCCATTGTTCGAATGGATCTGCGTGAAAAATAACGGAAAGCCTCAAAGCCACGATAAATCGATTAAACATAGGATGCAAGAGAATACAGTCCTACAACCACGTCTGAGATACATGATGAGATAATCGGGCTAAAAATGAAAGCCGTAGGTGTCAGTCGGGTCAAATATGAACATAACTAGTTAGGCTCGCATCAGAATAGGAGATAAGTGATTTTAAGTTTTTTGTTCTCGCTTGTTTTGTAAAGCTATAAGCGTATAAACGTTTATAGTATGTTGAACAATGGCCTTTCGGGTCCCTGTGCTAGACCTACGCCTATGTGATTTATCGCTACGTCGGTGCTGAGGTTCGACGGAAGACAACGCAAAATGGCCTGTTTGGGTCTGAGTCAGGTAAGAAAAATCGCGGAGCTGCAAGGTACGTGATCAACCGCAACGACCGTCGATGGTCAAGTTCTGCGTCGAATCGTGGCATGTGGCTTCCGAATTGAGTTCGAAACGTGGCAAAAAATTAGGAATAAAAAAGTTGAGTCACCATTTTTATTCTAGCATTACCATGCATTCGTATTAATGTACACCGAGTGTCTGGCGATTACCGTTTTCAATTCCGAGCCCCGGGCCTTCTAGGGAGAATTTACTGTATGTCCTTGATTGTTTAATTAGTAGCTAAAAGAGATGTTGTAGTGTGATGCAATGCTAATTTCTGCCGCGGTTTAAGGATTTATAGTCGATACGCCTGGGAGTTTTAGCGGTCAGTAGGCCTTCGGTTAAAATATAACTGGAACCGTTTTAAGCTAAACGAGTAACATAAAAACAAGACACAAAAAACTTAACGAAACAACGTGGGAGTGCAGAAGATGTAAAGTCCCATGTGCCAAAATGTTTCGAAAGATACTGACGATTGAAGGCTATTAATTTACTGTAAATTGTTATAAATTGGAATTAAAACTTATTAGAACCTATAAAATTATAGAACTATTAAAACTTATAATAAATCTTTTTTGTCTTTCGAAATTATTTATCAAACACCTTACAAAATTAAAATAGTTGTACCATAGACACGTATTTTGATTCCGTTCGAACTCGGGCAACAATATTGAATTACTGTTTTGAGACAATTGATTAACCAGAAACTACGTGTACCGACTACAACTTCTGCAGGGTTACCCTCACCGTATTACAAATTTCATGATTCCCAATGCTCTGACAATTCTCATCCATTAAACGTATACTCGTCAATATGTTCAGTGCTAGACTTTAATTAACCAATAATCCTGTATCTCCTCAAACAGGGTTCAAAGTTGCTCGGCGACTAACTTACCGATCCTCAGATTGTAGAACGTGACCAGACCGGTGGTGAACTCGCAGTAAAGGAAATTATGCGTCGCGTTGATGGTACGAAGGCATGAGTAGGTGTTGTTGTTGGCGTTCGTACAGGAACAGAACGGGCCGGCGCTCCACAAGGGAGCAGTCCGCCAATGATCATTATCGTGCTCGAAACAATTCATTTTCTCGGTCAAGCACTCCTTCTCGAGCTTGGCCTTCTTCCTCAATTTCCTCTCCTTCTTCTTCAAACGCTCCTTCTTCAGTCTTCTCCTCTCCTCGCGGGCGATCTCCTTCTCGTCCTTCTTCGTGAACGTGTCCGGCTCGCAGTAGCACTTGTGGCGAGCTTCCAGGGGATTGTTCAGCAGCGGCGGCAGCCGTCTGTTGCTCGACAGATCTATAACATCTTTCGTTTAAAGAAGATACATTCGGTTAACGGGTCATCGAAGACACCTTGTTTTACTGAAATCGATCACCAACCTTGCCTGTTCTTCCTATCGGGCGACTCCAAAATGGTCACGTCTATCCTAGAGGGGCCAAGGTTCGCAGATGTCCTGTTCCTGTGAAGCTTGGGAACCTTCCTCGCTGGAGAGACCGTGATAGGAGTCGTCATCGGCGTCGTGGACAGGGTGGAAGGCAAGGTATCTGTCCTAGAACGATCCTCGGTGGCTATTTTAACGAAAACAGGATTTGTCCTCTGCGGTTCGGTAGATTCTGCGCGATTAGAAGCGTCTGATCCAGTCTGCGAGTCGATTTCCGTAATGGTCTCCCGGTTGAAGTCGTTCGTGGTTCCCAGGGTGCTCGAAGTCTCCCTTTGGACCGTTGTTTCCTTCATGGTGGTGGTGGGAACGGTGGTGTACCTACTCGGATGGAACTGAGTGCTCTGAACTGTCGTCGTGCTCTGCGCGGTCACGGTTGTTCTCACTGTTTCGCTGATATTGACCGGCGACACCTCGTCGTGGACGCTGTTCGTGAACAGTGTGTTGTTCCTGCGATGATGATGGAGCTTCCTGCGCCGCTGAGGCTTGTCATCGTCAACTTCCGTGCGATTGTTAGCGGGGTCCTTTATTTTCTGACGACGGGGCAACCTCTTCGGCTTGGTCGTCGTAGACAGGGTCGTGGCGATCGACTCTGTCGTGGTGAACGGCTCGCTCTCGGTAGTCTCCGCGAAGGTGACAGTGATTCTAGGCCTATCTGTGGTCTCTGTAGTTGCGATCCTCTCCTCGGTAACTTGGTCGAGTTTCGGAGTGGATCGGGCAGTGGTGGTCGTGGGGTTCGTGGTACTCGCGTGCTCGTGTTTCTTGTGATGACGGTTCGCGTGAGGCTTCGGCGTGTGATGATGCGGCTTCGGAGCGTCCTTGGTGTCTTTCGCGACCTTGGCGTCCTCCATAGCCTCCTCCGGGTCGGGAATAAAGTGGGGCCGCTTGATCATCAAGTGACGCTTGATTTCCTAGAAAGAATGCCGCGATGGGAACGATGCAAGCGAGACATAACGGTGGTCGAGATTACTCACTCTCAGAGTCTCCAGCTGCATCCTCATCTGCCTTATCTGCTGCTCGATCTCTCTCCTAGAGATGCGCCACTCGTTCGGGTCTTGATAGACGGTCTCCGAGCAGTTCACTCCGCCCTGGGGAAGGACCGAACACTTCGGTGGCAGTGTTTTCCTCGTTTCCGAGTGACGAGCTTGGGTCGCCTAAGAGGACAACATCGTTCAGTCTCGGAGAATCATTAAACATTTATAGCGGCGAGAGTACCTTCAAGTCGTGCAGCTCTTCTTCTATGCTCTCCATGATCTTGGTAACGTGTTCCACGGTGTCCTTCTTAGCCACGCTCCTCCGTATCCTCCTGTGCCTCCGAACAACGTCCTCGATGTTCAGCCGACCCGTCACCACCTTGTCCAAGCTGGGATCAAAGTCGTCCATCGAGTAGTCCATCAAGGTATCAAACTTTAGCTTCTCGTTGGCGAGCGTGCGATTACTAAACCTGAAGACATTAAACATTTAACATTAAACGTTCATTGAACATCGATAGCATGTTTTATAAGCTATGAGTGAGTAGCTTTTTAAATGATCTGTACCCGGACACGAAGCTCGCGTATTCTTTTCGCACATCCCTGGCCAACTGATTCAGTTCGATCAAGAAATCCTCGTCATCTTCCTCATCTATGGCGCGGCGGTCCCGTCCCCCGTCATTATGGTCATCCGCATTCTCATTCGTATCTTGACGATCTTCGCTGGCTTCGTCCGAGACGTCTCGCTTGCCTGCAAAAATCGCGAACGACCGTTTAGGTCATAAAAGCATCTTTAGGAAGAGCAATGAAAATTTGCACCATTTTATATTGGACTTGAATTTAGAGCTGACATGAAAATTTTAAATACCGAGAAGAAGAAAAAATGCACTGAACTCTCTTTTGCAACTGCAGTAACCTTTGCCTGCAGTTTTATATGTTAGAAGGCAGACTTGATATCGCCAATACGACGACATTTGTTTTGAACGGGGTAAAAGAATTTAACTACCACTTTCGCCAACTAAGTGTCCAGGGAACTGTTATTTTATTGGTCAGTGTTGGGGTTCCGTTAGGCAAGATCGTTGATTAAAAACTTTTAGTACCTCGTCTGGCGAAGTACCTGGCCACGTCGGCGTAGCTATCCGTTCTCCTATCTCGGCTAACGCTGTATCGATGCCCGTCGTAATCATTCGACTCCAACCTGGTGTAGACCACGCCATTCGGCGTGAAACACGCGCATTTTTTCGAAATCCGCCGCGGCGGGGCCGCGTATTTGCATTTGTGCCTTCGCCAACGGTTGCCGTCCCTCTCGCACCGCCATTTTTGGCCCATCACACAGTTCGCCTGGGCTTCCGGGCGTGAACACTCGATCGCCAGACGCTCGTGCTTCGCCGAATAGGTCGAGTGCACTGGGTGCACTCTGTTGTCCAAATGAGGATCCGCGCCTGAAGGAATCAGACATATTTCTTGATTATTTGGAAAGAGGCTCGTCTTTATTTCCGATTACGAAATATAATTCTAATAAAATAGTGGATCCGGTTATTGTGGGATGACCAATTTCTGTGCCTATGGCATAATCAACTTTTTATTTATCAAATAAGATGTATAAGAATTTCTTATTCATAAAGAAACAAAGCAAAAGAATAAAAAGATATAATATGACTTATTCGATAAATATAAAGATAATTATGCCCGGAAACAAAGCAAGGGCGCAGCAATTGGTTCGTCGGTGTTCATTCTTTTATCTTCTTTATCTTTACCAATTTCCTAAAAATGGAAGTCCGCAATTATTTCGTTGCGATTCACCCGAGGACTGAACAAATCAAAATTAATGACTTATTTCGAATGGAAATGAAATCTGTTTTCAGTTTTTGATTTTCCAAAACAAATTTCGCGAACGGACTCCGCAATCCGGAGTACGATCGGTCTCTAAAAGAACGAAAACCATTTGCACCTGGATTTAAACGGACTATGTTAGGTGCGATCTCGGAAACGATCTGGTTTACGACGCGGCGCACGGCGTCAGTTCGGCGCTGGTCTACGAGGACGAAAGTGATGGCACGGTTTTATGAAGGGAACACGGGCCAATAAAACGGGATTAGAGCTGATCGTTGCGTAAATCCCAGCGAAGAGCCTGGGCTGGTGATTTATGTCCGAAATGGAACCCGGGCCCTTTCCGTCGCGATAATCCGGCCGAATAAGATTTCACTTAACCACGGCTATCGCCCCGACCATCGTCAGCGTCTTCGCATGATCCACCATTTCTCGAACCGAACTATCTTCTATACTTCAAAATCAGTTTCATTCAAACGAACGTCGATCAACCGTCTAATTAAACTTTCGCAAGATCCGAGATCGTCAATATCCTGATACACGGAAACAACTTTCGATCAAAGTCCGGAGATTTTCATATCCGCCCCCGCGGTTTCCAACTTGTCAGAAGCGTCACAACGCGGCTAAACCAGTTAAGACCCACTTAATCCCGCCGACAGCTTCGCAAATCCGCGCTTAACGTAATTTATTCATTGTGCGATTGGATCATGACGTGAGATTGCCGCACTCGAAGAGTAGACTGGGTTTATTGCCGCGAAAAGGTCAGCGCGACATCGCTTTACAGGAGTGGAAACGAGGTCCCTGGCAGATAGAGAAACTGTGAAAACTCTCGCCAGCAAATATTTCATCTGCAGAGGATAATCGTGTTGGGTCGTGACCTAACTGACGTGACCTAACAAATCGTTGTTGTTCAAAAGGCAAAGCATATTTGATGGTTGCGTTCAAATTGCCAACGAGACATCTTGGAATCTAGCCTGAACTTGGTCGCAGACAGAAATCGATAGATTACGGATCTGTATGCAAAATAAAATCTTGTCCTCAATTGCAACGAACAGAAACGGACACGAATATGGAATATGGGGACGAAACGGTATTCCGTAATAGATGCATGCTTGAACTTTACTATCATACTCTATTAAATAAATATTTCAAAATTCAGTACGTTATCTACTACGTACATCAGTCTATCGAACAATAGTACAATTGCGCAAAAACAAGACTTTTCAGTTGGAATAAAATCGATGTTGGAAAGCGTTCCATAATAGGTACTTTTACCTTTGAACTACTGTTTCGGATCGACTACAACGATCTCGTTAGCGCTGCTTAGGAATTAGCCTTACTTGAATCATCGATGACGGAGTCCTCGAAGTCCTCGTCCTCGGAGATGTCCTGGTCGCTGCCGGTGTCGTTCTCCAGGAACCGGTGCTCCGGTTCGTGCTCGACTTCCGGATCGGCCGAGGTCTCCTCTTCCTCTTCCGGCGTGGCGTTCGCGTGTTGTTTCGCGATGGTAGCGTTCTGCTTCCTGGCCTCTCTAGCTTTCGCTTCGGCGATCGATTCCGGCGTTTCCCGGCGTCCCGACGACTCGATCAGGAAGGTGTCCGGCCATTTGAATTTTGATCTGCGCCCGTGTTTACTGAAAACCGAACAAGCTCTGTCTGTTCCCATTCCCATTCCCGCCGTCGCCGGGTTCGATCGTTCTGCGGATTTTTCACGGGCCAACCGTTTTTTCGGCCCCGCGAACAGGAATTGGCAATGTATACTCACTTCTGGAAAAGTTTCTTGAAAGAACGACCGTCCATCTGCGGCGGCGTCTCGACGCCGGCTATGTCCAGGAACGTCGGCGCCAGGTCGATGTTCAAAACTATGTCGTCTACGCTGCAACGTCATATAGATGCTTTATCGTAATCCAATATTGGAGGTTCTTCCCTCGCCCAACCCGCCCCACACATCCCCCACGGGGTAAATACCGAACTCCCACCTCGCGAGCATATTCGCCCTGCGAGTGTCCCGGCATTTTCAACCCGACGAATTTCCTCCCAGTTTTTCTCGGGCCCGTTCGTAATATATCCCGCGATTCATGGCGCCGCAATATAGACCAACGTTTACTTGCTCGTCCGAAAAAAACCCGTCGAATTTCATCCGCTTTTTTTGAAATTCTGCGCGTAGCGCCGGGACAATGAAATTCCAACGGTTTCCATAAATATGGATTTTTTTTTCACCGGAGAATAATCGTTCAATTCAGAGAAACAATTCTTTCGGCACTATCATTAGCTAGGCATCTTTTAGGACTGAACGTAATCGTGCTAATTTTACGTTTCCTAAAAGAATAATTTCGTCGGAATTATACGGCTACGTAGAAAAAAGATCCTATTATCGTTCTGAAAACTTTTAAGAAGTTATTGCAGCTGTAACATGTAGACTGCAAAGTTTATGCATTTCTTAACATCTATATTTGTAGAAATGTAACAAAATTGCAATATTAACCCTTAGCGCTCCGTTGACTCCGCTATGGAGACATCCGTCATTTGTTCCGTAAATCCGAAGGCTCTGCTGCGGAGCCCAATATTTTTAGCACGATTACACTGAAGACGCTATGTTTTTGTCGACGTTGGCAATTGTTATTTGTAGTGAAAACGTGCTTAGCGTGTGTACATTTTTTGCACATTTTTATACTTAGCAACATAAAATGAATCAAATCAAACGCTTTCACAAGGACGTGTAATCTTTTACGCTCAGAATAACTTTCTTTATCTCAGGCGCTTTGCTCCAAAAATGTGCCGGAAATGCTGGTAGGTAGTACTCGAGAAACGCGTGGAGCGCTCTCTAAGGGTTGATCACAGTTAATGAAACCTCAAGTTCACTTCATTGTGATCAGGGATCTCGTGATAGCGATAGAAATTTTCTCCATTTTTCTCCAACAAAAAGAAATCTTTCCCAAAAGATAATGATTTCATAGATTGATTTCCACGTGCAACAGTGGCGCAAATATCAATAGCTTAGTATATCACTTTAGAAAGTTACTGCAATTGTGATAATCGAATCCATCAGGGATCTCGTGATCAGCGATAGAAATTTTCTCCATTTTTCTCCAACAAAAAGGGATCTTCCCCAAAAGATAATGATTCCATAAATCGATTTTCACGTGCAACAATGGCGCAAATATCGATAGCTCAGTATATCACTGTAGAAAGTCACTGCAAATATGATAATCGAATCCGAAAGCTTAGGCATTTTCGAACCGCTGGCACTACGTTGTTTCTCGCCGGCTAAGACTGAAAATCGGGCGTGTGCGAACGCTGCCAGAAATAGCAGGGCCCCATAACGATCCGATTGATGGCGATTCGGTCCTTCGGTTTCGCGGTGCGAATGCGACGGGGTTTATTAAATCGGGTGGGAGCGTCGAAGAACCGTGCGCGTTGCTTGCACACGGAAGTTGCCTTGTGCGTCATTAATCTAACGGCGATGTTTATAACAGACGTGTGGCGGTTGTGCTTCAATTTATACGCGAGTGGTCGCCGGTTCACGTTCACACGGTAGTTTGGCAACGCGAGGAGGGCCGTCTCGGTTTACCAGCTGGTTTTTCGTCGCCGCTCGGAGAACGCGACGGATATAATTTATCGGTTTTCGAGGCTCTCATGGTGGCGTCCCGCGGAACCGTAATTCCAGGAGACGGCCAGACAACGGCCACTTACTCCGCGAGTGCTCTATTTATTGCCGGGGGGGAAAGGATCGTTGTTCGATGCCAGCTCGATATCGTCGCGGTATTTCAATGGGTACGATCGCCGGGGCTCATCGTCGAAAATTATCGGCGCTCGTGACTCGTCCCTTTTCCGAGGGAATTTACGGGACACGACCGTGCTTGTTCCGCGGGAGCGCCGCGTGTAGCCGGCAATTAACTGTGCAACAATGTTGACGAGAGGCTCGTCAGACAGAGGGGAAACGGAACGCCGGATATGTACCTCGGGGTGGGGAAATCCGCGAAATCTGGATCTGTTCAACGTCGCCGCGCGGCGGATCTGCCTCTGCGCCGCGATGAATCAATTTGGCTAAGTCGTCGCGCTACCGTTGGGACCGTTTCGTTCAACCGTGGACGCGATTCGTCCACCGTCACGCCTCTCCTCGCCACTTAGAGAGCGATCGTTTATTTTCCTCTCCGCTCCGTTCCCTCGCGGCCGGATTAACGAGCGGTTCCAAGAGCACGACATCCTACGTGGAACGAAAGTAATAATAAACCTTGCTTACATGGTGCCCGGCTCGATACCAGGTCCTCGGATCAAAAATGGAACTCTGACGTCGAACTCGAACGGGAAGCTCTTCCCCTTGATCAGCCCGAACTGGCCCAAATGGTAGCCGTGATCCGACGTGTAGATGATGTAGGTGTTGTCCAGCTCGCCCAGGTCTTTCAGTTCTTGGTAGATCTGCCGAGGGAGGGCGAGACGTCGAAATAAATTACCGTTTCACCGAAGCGACGTTTAGTCACTCCGCCGACTTGGCCCCCGTGGCAGATGCATCGATTAAAATCCCCTCTACTCTTCCCCCCTTCGAGAAACATTGCCGATCTCATGAATCACCTACCCTGTCCACGGCGTCGTCCACGCTCTGCAATGTCTGCAACCTCTTGGTCATCAGCAGGTCCGTAAACTGCTTGTGGATCGGCTGCATCTTCTGCGTGACTTGCAGGATCCATTGTTTATCCGGGTTCGGGGCGTAATCGTAGGCTGGCGTGCTGGAACAAAGAATTCGTTTCATGCCGGTCGGCTTCCGTGCATTATGGACCTCGATCATCCAGAAAACACGCGAAATTGCTATGGCGCCGATTTATACCAGGGATTTTAAATCTGATCGGATAATAACACAGGTCCCTCGAGTATTCGATTAGTTCGGAGTTTTTATTTCGTTTGTATTTCGATGAGAATGGAGGGAATGTCGTTTGCAATCGATCTTCATTCTTACTTGTTTCTCTCGTTGAAATCGTCTCATCGTAGACTTTAACAAATGCACAGTATTGTACGTAACGATCTACCCGATACTAAGCGAGTTTAGTCTAAAAAATTCACGTCGATGAAACTGTGTAGAAGCTTTCTAAATTTTCCGCCATTTAATCGTGTAACTTTTTGCGCAAAAATATTCCGTTGCACCGTCGGTAACTTACTGGTAACAGTATCAAGCTTATAAAAGCAAGTATATCAACGTCAAGATCAAAATGGTTTCTTTTCCTGCAACAACATTGCAGAGACTCGTCTTGGTATCGATGTCGACTTGCCGTTGAGTTTCGAGCCGGTCGTTAATTGCGACCCGTGCTCCCTGGCGTCGAAGAATCCCTATTAGCCGATTAAGTCGCGGAGCGTGGCTCGAGTAACTAGGATTTAGGTGTGCTCGCGCGACGGTACGCGCGGAACACGATCCCGGCTAGGCGAAATTGAATTAATCTCGAGTATCTAGCGAGAAGCGAGAGTTCGATGCAACGAGAAGGTGAAACGCGTTGGACCCTCGAGACACCGTAGGCCCCCCTACCCATCCCCCCCTCATCCACGGCCCGTCCTCTTTCAGCCTAGCTCTCCACCAATTACGCGAGACACGAAATTATGGGTAATTGGCCCTTCACCTTCCTCCACGTCCTTCAGGAACGCTCGCCTCGAACGTGGAGGATCTTTGTCTTATTGGCGGACCTTCGTACGGGATACAGGAACAGGTTTACGGCCCCGGTCGCTCAGAATTTCATAGAGTACCGACCGGTCACCGGCTGGAAAACTCGAGACCGTCCACTTTGCGTTCGGACCCGAGCAATTTATTGAAACGTACTCGTCCGACCGAGTTCACGCCTTCCAATCTTTATCGAACATAACCTTCCGAAACACAAACGATTCCGCGAGACTTGTATCCCCGTGTCTCCTCGTACCGATAGCCTCCGCGAGAAGTGGCAAGCGCGCGACCGACCGAATAATCCCCGTAATGGAAAGTAGGAAGTCATAAACGGCGAACACCGTGTATCTGTACGCCACGTTTCCGACATTCTTCCCGTCGCACAAAAAATTCGCGGGCATCCTCTTATAAGACGAAGTCAAAAACCTACCTACTCTATTCCTTCATCTAAATTTTCATTATTTCCACAATTTTTCCAGGACACCCATATCCAATAATATTCAGTTCACTCAAACCACATACCTACAACCGAAGATTAATAAGCATCGAAATAAACTTAGTCATTGAAATCGTGTTAGAAATAGCTCATGAAATCACGTTGCTGGATGGAAGATTGAACCTACCGATCATGAACAGTGATCGTCGTAAGTGAGAAGAGTTGGGCAACATGTGGCAGAACAATAAAATTTACTCAATCTCGCGAAAGGGTCTCTTTTAAGAATCGTGAAACAAAATCACCGAGGACTTCGGCTGGAACGAAAAGGCGAAGGGACTGTCGGAAGACAGCGATCGTTTTTAAATAACGAAACGTAATTCGTCCGAGAAGAAGAAAGCGGGGGTGGGCTAAAAACTGCGGGAACAAGGAACACGGCCCGCGTTAATTTCGCCGGATAGCCTTTTTTCGTTTGCCCGGCTGCTGACGGTCGTAAAGCAGCTCGTTCCTTTATGCAAATTTAAAATAAAGCGCGCAATCTGACGGTGGCGGCCCCCGAACGAAGAATACTCCACCCCCCGGCCCCCCGCGCCGACGTATTTCGTCTGGACTCCGTAATTGCGGCCTATTCTGCGTACACCGGCTCGCCACTGCCACTTAACTTTCCCGCGAGACACTCCACGATCATATTTTGCGCCCAGACACGTGGCCCCCACTCACCCCCTTGTTACCTCCCTCACTCTCTTTCTCTCTCTCTCTCTCTATCTTTCACCCTGATTGCGAGCAACTCGTTTGTCTCCGCGCGCATCCCTCGAATACGGTCTCATTCGGCAGCACGGCTGTCGCCCGGAACAGCCGCGGATTTAATCGACCGCTTAAGATTAATCGGCTGAGGCTTAATTAGGGAACCGGGGATAAGGAGCCCCCAATCTGCTTCCCCGAGAATTGTGCTTCGTGATGTAACCATTACGGAATTAACGGTGAACCTACCTCGGTCAGATGAATGGTGCTTCATTTTATAATTATTGCAATTATAGACATTCTTCTATGGTTGAATCGGTTTCATTAATCGGGCACATATTGTCGTCATAAATCATGCAAGATTTAAATATGTTCGATTGTCCGGGCTAAACAGAGGGTCGTAAATGTTCTGATAACAGAACAGTTACTTAGTCTCTTCTTTATTGATTTGTACAATAAATCGTTTCGTATATGATCGCCTTTGATTGAGCTGATTACAGGCAAAAAGTATTTATATTGGAGAATCTTACTATTCTTACAATTCTGTGTGCAATTCATGGTGCTCGCGTTGACTTTACGTATACTTTGTGCAGAAGAAAGAAGAAAGGATTTGTAAGCATTTATTAATGACCATATTTAATTTAATTATCATATAAATATGGTAACAATGAACAGTATCTAGTACACAATCTAACAATTAATTCTGCAAACTCATCTCGAGCAACATTTAAAAAAATTGTACACTACCATTTACGTCTTTTTCGTCTCTGACTAAAGAAAAAAAAAGAGATCCTCTTTCTTCAGGATCTCAAATAGAGCATTCAAAGCAAATCCCCAGTTTTCCTGGACTCCGCGGAAGATCCTCCATTGGCATCCGTCTCTGAAAGTTAATCAGCTTTCAAGACTTCAGCTCGAAGTATCATTGTCCACTCGATTGTCCCCGCTAGGCTCTCTCGATCGGTCTCCGAGGATTTAAAGAGACCGCGGTGACGCAGTTTCGTCATCGAATCAACTGGTGGTCGTTCGGCGACGAGCGCGATCAATCTCCTCGGCGATCTGGTCGCATTAATGACCCGGCGCGGCGTATCGTCTGCTTGTCACGGGGCTAGTCGAAAGCGAGGGCCGTGCGGCATTATCGCGGTCAACGAGCCCGCTTTATATTTTGACAACCCTTTCACCGTGACTAATCCGAAGGCAACGACACCGTCCGAGTTGAACCGTTCTCGACGCGGGCTCCGCAACGCTCTCGCCCGCGGGCCTCGTTTTAATTCTAGCGGAGCCCTTTAATATCGCGGACCCCGTTACCCCCTCGCGATCAGATAATCGGAATTTATCGCCGGAGTAATTAGCGGAAGAAATTTATGCGGCAATTACGGCAGGGGACGCCGGTGATCTTTGCTGCGGGGCAGGAGCGGCGAGGAAAGAAATTTAGTGGCGATCGGGTACGCCGCGCGGTTTTCCGACGCTCCGCCTCGAAACCGCGGCGACGATCGATCTCGCCGCGTTGGATTCGCGTAGATCGCGCGATAACAGTCCCGGCAATGGCGGAATTGATTAACGAGGCAACAGAGACCGTCCGTCCGAACGAAGTTATGGCCAGTCGGAGAAAAGTTGCGCCGATCGTGAGCGTGTCCCTTTCCGGAAAGAGAGACCGGCGAACAGAGACCGATAGCGATCGAGCGGAGATCGTTAATTATCGCACGTGAAATATGTCGATCGCTGATCCGGCTCCCGGATCGCGGACGATCGGAATCGTTCCTGCGATTTGATGGATACCGCGGACCTCTTGAACAATCGATCCTTCGAGGCCGTGCGCCGTGTGCGCTCACTCTTCGTAGACGTCTTCGTCCGCAAAGAGGTGAAAAGACGCTCGAAAGCACGTCGACGCAGACTATTACCACGGTGAACTTATTTCTCCTCGTTTTACATGGCCTACTTTCCTGCTACCAGCGATACTCGGGGGGACGCTTGACAGCCACTCGGGCTCTCTCACATATCGATTACCCCCTGCACCCGATATCCTTAGCCCTTGCATCCGTCTGCTTCGGCCATCTCCGCGAACTTCGATTCTCCGTGAGGCGGGGAAACATTCTCAGATATATCGCAGGATGTAAGATGAAATCTGGAAGATTGGGTAACGCGCCCCGGATCGCGAAGTCCCGAGGGGTTGCGAAGTGTTTTCTGGGGATCGAGGGTGAATGCTTTTATAACAGCCACCATTTTTATGGGAACTTGTCAGTCGATGGGTTCACGTTGTTCCTCCGCATTAAACGTGGAAGAAAGAGACCAAAAATAAAATCTGTTCGATGCTCTCTTTTTTATGTTCCATGCGAGTTTATACAAGGTGTCCCAAAAATGTCTCACAATCCGGAAATGGCGGGTTCCTCGGATCATTTGAAGCAACTTTTTCCTTTACAAAAATTTTCTCCGAGGCACCGTTATCGAGTTATTAACGAAAAACAGTGACCAATAAGAATCGAGTACGGCTGACGCGAGGCGGCTCAGTCAACCAGCGCACGAAGTCCAGTTCCGCTCATTGACTCGGTCGCCTCTCATTGGTCACTGTTTTTCGTTAATAACTCGTTAATGGTGCCTCGGAGAAAATTTTTGTAAAGGAAAAAGTTGCTTCAAATGACCCGAGGAACTCGCCACTTTCGGATTGCGAGACAGTTTTGGGACACCCTGTAGACGCAGTGTCTCATCCGACGAACAACATCGTTTCTTGTTGGTGTTCAAACATTGTATCTGATGCGAGTGTTGCGCATTTGGCGCGATCGACGTGTTTAATGTCAGTTTAATATTTAAGATCGATCGTTGTGTTAGAAATGTAAGGCTGCTTCTGAAACTAGCGCAAATGTGCTGTACGCATGGCTGAATATCCGCGAGGAACTTTTATCTTCTCGCGGTTC